ATTTTTAAAAATGTTTTATTATATTTTAAAAAATTCTATTTTATTACAGCGGGGCAAAAAAGTATTTAGTCCGCCACCAATTGTACAAGTTCTCCCACTTACAAAGATGAGAGAGGCCTGTAATTGGCATCATAGGGAGACCTCAACTATGAGAGACAAAATGAGAAAACAAATCCAGACAATCTCATTGGCTGATCTGGAAAGAATTGATTTGCAAATTATGGTGGAAAATAAGTATTTGGTGACCTACAAACAACAAGATTTCTGGCTCTCACAGACCTGGACCTTCTTCTTTAAGAGGCTCCTCTGTCCTGCACTCATTACCTGTATCAATGGCACCTGTTTGAACTTGTTATCAGTATAAAAGACACCTGTCCACAACCTCAAACAGTCACACTCCAAAAACTCCACTATGGTGAAGACCAAAGAGCTGTCGAAGGACACCAGAAACAAAATTGTAGACCTGCACCAGGCTGGGAAGACTGAATCTGCAATAGGCAAGCAGCTTGGTGTGAACAAATCAACCGTGGGAGCAATAATTAGAAAATGGAAGACATACAAGACCACTGATAATCTCCCTCCATCTGGGGCTCCACGCAAGATCTCACCCCGTGGGGTCCAAATGATCACAAGAACGGTGAGCAAAAATCCCAGGACCACACGGGGGGACCTAGTGAATGACCTGCAGAGAGCTGGGACCAACGTAACAAAGGCTACCATCAGTAACACACTACGCCGCCAGGGACTCAGATCCTGCAGTGCCAGGCGTGTCCCCCTGCTTAAGCCAGTACATGTCCGGGGCCCGTCTGAAGTTTGCTAGAGAGCATTTGGATGATCCAGAAGAGGATTGGGAGAATGTCATATGGTCAGATGAAACCAAAATACAACTGTCTGGTAGAAACACAACTCCTCGTGTTTGGAGGAGAGAGAATGCTGAGAACACCATACCTACTGTGAAGCATGGGGGTGGCAACATCATGCTTTGGGGCTGTTTCTCCGCAAAGGGACCAGGACAACTGATCCATGTACAGGACAGAATGAATGAGGCCATGTATCGTGAGATTTTGAGTGCAAACCTCCTTCCATCAGCAAGGGCATTGAAGATGAAACGTGGCTGGGTCTTCCAACATGACAATGATCCCAAACATACCGCCCGGGCAACGAAGGAGTGGCTTCGTAAGAAGCATTTCAAGGTCCTGGAGTGGCCTAGCCAGTCTCCAGATCTCAACCCCATAGAAAACCTTTGGAGGGAGTTGAAAGTCCGTGTTGCCCAGCGACAGCCCCAAAACATCACTGCTCTAGAGGAGATCTGCATGGAGGAGGAGATCTGCATGGAGGATGGGCCAACATACCAGCAACAGTGTGTGCCAACCTTGTGAAGACTTCCAGGAAACGTCTGACCTCTGTCATTGCCAACAAAGGATATATAACAAAGTATTGACATGAACTTTTCATATTCACCAAATACTTATTTTCCACCATAATTTGCAAATAAATTCTTTCCAGATCAGCCAATGAGATTGTCTGGATTTGTTTTCTCATTTTGTCTCTCATAGTTGAGGTCTCCCTATGATGCCAATTACAGGCCTCTCTCATCTCTGTAAGTGGGAGAACTTGCACCATTGGTGGGGACTAAATACTTTTTTGGCCCACTGTATATGCTATCATATTATAGTTTATATATATATATATAATTTTTTTTTGTATGTATTAAAAAAATTTGATAAATTGTGGGTGAAAAACATGGTGGGGGTATGTACAGTACAAAGCCAGGACCACCAGGAGCGGGATGCGTGCCTTGAGCCGGCCATAGATGGTTTGAGTCGAGATTTGAACCATCTGTGGGTGGGCTGATTGCACCCACGTGGATTGTTGTATGGATTGGGTGCAGCCAGCTTGTTGGATTTTTCGGAAGTGATTATTGGCGGCTGTAGCCGCTAGCAACAATCTGTGTTCTTCTGGCAGGAGTGACTCCCCCCCCTCCCCCCGTGGTTTCAGGAAAATGGTATCTTCCGTGTCCTGCTTTGGTACATTGAGACCCATTAACCCCTTCATGTCTGGAGGTCACACAGATCTGAGTGCAGCTCTGCGTTTGTCGTGTTCATGTAGCGCCCTCTAGTTGGACTAGATGGGATTTTTGTGAGTCAGAGGCTTGTTAGCAGCCTGGGAGGAGTCAGCCTGGGGAGTGGAGATGTCACCTCGGGGCAGGCTGGGGGGGCTCTACAAGTCAGGGTTTCTGGAGCCCTCCCACCCTTCCATAAACTGCTGGAATTTTCTGGTGGAGGAGGGGAGGAGGCCCAGATTTGCAGGTGTAAGGGAACTTGGCCAATCCCCAGGCAGGAGGCCGGCCATGGATAGGGCAACCCTTAAAGGTGGCAGAGCCTGTGCAGCCGGGGAGCCAGGAGGAAGATGGGCTAAGAGAAGGTGCTGGAGTGTGGGAGGGGGGCCCAGGGAGGGGGGCCCCAGAAAGGGGGGCCTACCTGCAGGCAGGTATTGGATGGAAGGATCCCCACTGGGCCACAAGTCTCCTGGGGAGGACGACCTGTCAGCTGGGAAGGTCCTGGGAGTCTTTAGGAGAGGAGGGAGGGTTCTCAGCTCAGCCAATGCCTGAGGTAAGAGCAGATGGATTCCAGGAAGTAACTGCTACATGAATCACCTGCCCTTAGGCCCCTTTCAGACGAGGCGGATCCGCCTGCTCAGTGGGGGGGGGGGGATCTCTCTGCTGATCCACGCTGAGCAGGCGGGTGACAGGTCCACTACTGCAGAGAGGACACAGACACTGCCGCTGTCTTCTGTGGGACGGTTGGATGGACACAGACCGCCTGTCTATTCTCACCCAACCAGGGGCGGACTGACAACTCAAGGGGCCCCCGGGCAATAGGGAATCATGGGGCCCCTGTGTCCTTGCCCAAGGATGGAGACAGGGATGGATGTATGGAGACATGGATGGAGACATGCAAGGATGGAGACATGGATGGATGGATGGATGGAGACATGGATGGATGGATGGATGGATGGGGACATGGATGGATGGATGGAGACATGCAAGGATGGATGGAGAGATGGATGGATGGAGACATGGATGGGGACATGGATGGATGGATGGAGACATGGATGGAGACATGGATGGATGGATGGATGGATGGGGACATGCAAGGATGGATGGAGACATGGATGGATGGAGACATGGATGGATACATGGAAGGAGACATGGATGGATGGAGACATGGATGGATGGAGACATGGATGGATGGATGGATGGATGGAGACATGGATGGATGGAGACATGGATGGATGGAGACATGGATGGATGGAGACATGGATGGATGGATGGATGGATGGATGGATGGATGGAGACATGGATGGATGGAGACATGGATGGATGGATGGATGGATAGAGATTTATTGATGGATGGATGGATGGATACATGGATGGATGGATGGATGGATGGAGACATGGATGGATGTTGGATGGAAACAAGGCTGGCTGGATGGTTAGGAACATGGATGGATGGATGGAGACATGGATGGATGGATGGATGGAGACATGGATGGATGGATGGAGACATGGATGGATGGATGGATGGAGACATGGATGGATGGAGACATGGATGGAGACATGGATGGATGGAGACATGGATGAATGGATGGAGACATGGATGGATGGAAGGAGACATGGATGGATGGAGACATGGATGGAGACATGGATGGATGGAGACATGGATGAATGGATGGAGACATGGATGGATGGAAGGAGACATGGATGGATGGAGACATGGATGGAGACATGGATGGATGGAGACATGGATGAATGGATGGAGACATGGATGGATGGATGGAGAGATGGATGGATGGAGACATGGATGGAGACATGGATGCATGGATGGAGACATGGATGGATGGAGACATGGATGGATGGATGGAGACATGGATGGATGGAGACATGGATGGATGGATGGATGGATAGAGACATGGATGGATGGATGGATAGAGACATGGATGGAGACATGCATGGATGGATGGATGGATGAATGGAGACATGGATGGATGGAGACATGGATGGATGGAAACAAGGCTGGCTGGATGATTAGGAACATGGATGGATGGATGGATGGAGACATGGATGGATGGATGGTGACATGGATGGATGGATGGAGACATAGATGGATGGAGACATGGATGGATGGAGAAATGGATGGAAGGATGGACTACTGCCAACCAGTCAGTGAACCAATGAGAAGAGGGAGGAGGCGGGGCCTCTGCATGAATGGACACACAGAGCAATGAACCAGTGCTTCCGAAGCGGAAGCAAGCCTGCTCAGGTGCCCCCATAGTAAGCTGCTCTCTCTGGGGGCACTCAGCAGGAGGGAGGGGCCAGGGTCGCCGGCAGGGGAGGAGGATTGGGGGGCCACGCCGGGCAGAACCATTCCAGAGCCGGGAAGTGCAGACATGATTGTTAGTTTTTGCCTTTAATCTCACTTTAGCGCGGCCCCTCCCCCTGCGTTCTGATTCCATCTGTTATCATTAGCTGACGACGAGGCAACATTTGGATGGGGCACCTTGAGGGGCTGCCTGGAGGAGTGGCCAATAAAGTGGGTTTGGCTTCACAGTTCCCCGCCTTGCACGGATGTTCTGAAATGTGTTCCCTGCACACAATGGTGGCACCGTTCATCCAGTCCAACAACGACCCATTCACTTGGACCATCGCCATGATCAATTCCCCTCCCCCACACCTCCTCCAGCTAGCCGGCGGGGCTGCTCTGGTCACTGGCACCCCTCCCTCTGCACCACCAACATCAACAAAGAGGAGGATGTAGGCCTGGAAAGCATGCAATAAGGTGCCAGGAGCGCCATCTATTGGTTGGGTCCTGGAAGTTCTGGTTGTATTTGAAGATATTGTATGATTCTTGCGGAATTTTAAGAAACAAATCCATGTCTGAGCAAGCTTTCCAGCAACAACTATACTGCCCCATGTATTGTCCCCGCCCCCTCCACATCATGTGATTCAGGTGTCCCAATCCCCTCCCAATCATGTGATTCAGGTGTTCCAATCCCCTCCATATCATGTGATTCAGGTGTCCCAATCCCCTCCCAATCATGTGATTCAGGTGTTCCAATCCCCTCCCCAATCATGTGATTCAGGTGTCCCAATCCCCTCCCAATCATGTGATTCAGGTGTTCCAATCCCCTCCATATCATGTGATTCAGGTGTCCCAATCCCCTCCCAATCATGTGATTCAGATGTTCCAATCTCCTCCATATCATGTGATTCAGATGTTCCTGCCCCCTCCATATCATGTGATTCAGATGTTCCAATCCCCTCCATATCATGTGATTCAGGTGTTCCAATCCCCTCCATATCATGTGATTCAGGTGCTCCAATCCCCTCCATATCATGTGATTCAGGTGTTCCAATCCCCTCCATATCATGTGATTCGGGTGTTCCAATCCCCTCCATGGACACAGGTGTATACAATCAAGCCCCTAGGCATGCAGACGGCTTCTACAAACATTGGTGAAAGAATGGGTCGCTCTCAGGAGCTCAGTGACTCCAAGCGTGGTCCCGTGATAGGTGGCCACCTGGGCAATAAGTCCATCCGTGACATTTCCTGGCTACTAAATATTCCACGCTCAACTGTTAGTGGGATTATAACAAAGTGGAAGCAACTGGGAACAACAGCCACTCAGCCACCAAGTGGTAGGCCACGTCACATGACAGGGTGGGGTCAGCGCATGCGCACAGTGCACAGAGTCCTGACCTCAACCCCATAGAACACCTTTGGGATGAATTAGAGCGGAGACTGCGAGCCAGGCCCCCTCCCCCGACATCAGTGCCTGACCTGACAAATGTGCTTCTGGAAGAATGGTCCAACCTTCCCATAGACACCCTCCTAAACCTTGTGGGGGCCTTCCCAGAAGAGTTGAAGCTGTTATAGGTGCAAAGGGCGGGGCCAACTCAATATTGAACCCTACGGACTAAGACTGGGGGGCCATTAAAGGTCATGTGTGTGGAAAGGGCGGGGCCAACTCAATATTGAACCCTACGGACTAAGACTGGGGGGCCATTAAAGGTCATGTGTGTGGAAAGGCTGGGGCCCAATACTTGGGGCAATATAGTGTATATATGCAGCATCATGGAAGTGGGCCTTCCACCTCTCTGACTCTGTATATATATATATATATGTGCGCTCAGTGTCATTGGGTTAAAGTGTATAGAAAGTCCAAAGAGGAACCTGGAAGGATAAGGACACACTATGAGTACAGGGTGTCTTGGACCCGCCTCCTGAGGGACATCACCACGGCACGCTGAACTCACAATGTATTATTGTAGAGCAGCACTGATATAATTCCCCAACTCACAGGAGCTTACAATCTATCTGTACCCCCTCCTTGTACACCCTTGGTCGTAGAGGTCTGTCGCTGCTGTTGCCTTGCCTTGGTCCAGGGTCTTGGTTGTTTCCCCCACAGAGCTACACCCTGATAAGGTGCAAGAGTGAAACAGCCGGCCATCAAGACTTGGGGTTCGTGCTGACACCATCTACTGGAGTGCCGACACCATCTACTGGGAGTGCCGACACCATCTACTGGAGTGCCGACACCATCTACTGGAGTGCCGACACCATCTACTGGAGTGCCGACACCATCTACTGGAGTGCCGACACCATCTACTGGAGTGCTGACACCATCTACTGGAGTGCCGACACCATCTACTGGAGTGCCGACACCATCTACTGGAGTGCTGACACCATTTCCTGGAGTGCTGACACCATCTACTGGAGTGCTGACACCATCTACTGGAGTGCCGACACCATCTACTGGAGTGCTGACACCATCTACTGGAGTGCTGACACCATCTACTGGAGTAGGCCTCTGTTGGATGCAGTAACCACATGGACTCACCTTGGTGGGTAGCCGGGGCAGCACACATTGCCTGGATAAGTTTAGGGACCAGGGAATTAGGAACGACGACTGACAGTATTTGGGGAAGTTCTGCATAGATAAGTAAAACTTTTGAAACTTTGTCGTCTGCCTGGTCTGAAGGGGTGTCATGCAAGTCACCACATTGCACTTACTCCACAGCTTGGCCCCCTAGCACACGGAGTATGGAAGCTCAAGAGTTAAAGCCAAGTGCATGTTGGATCCCACGCTATGTGCACGGCGGGTTCCATGCTGCTACCGGTACGGGGAGGGGAAAATGCTGGACAGGTGGCTACTGATCCCTGCACTCTGCATTACATACCACTGATCCCTGCACTCTGCATTACATACCACTGATCCCTGCACTCTGCATTACATACCACTGATCCATGCACTCTGCATTACATACTACTGATCCCTGCACTCTGCATTACATACTACTGATCCCTGCACTCTGCATTACTTACTACTGATCCCTGCACTCTGCATTACATACTACTGACCCCTGCACTCTGCATTACTTACTACTGATCCCTGCACTCTGCATTACATACTACTGATCCCTGCACTCTGCATTACACACTACTGATCCCTGCACTCTGCATTACTTACTACTGATCCCTGCACTCTGCATTACATACCACTGATCCCTGCACTCTGCATTACTTACTACTGATCCCTGCACTCTGCATTACATACTACTGATCCCTGCACTCTGCATTACACACTACTGATCCCTGCACTCTGCATTACTTACTACTGATCCCTGCACTCTGCATTACATACTACTGATCCCTGCACTCTGCATTACACACTACTGATCCCTGCACTCTGCATTACACACTACTGATCTCTGCACTCTGCATTACATACTCCTGATCTCTGCACTCTGCATTACACACTACTGATCCCTGCACTCTGCATTACACACTACTGATCTCTGCACTCTGCATTACATACTCCTGATCTCTGCACTCTGCATTACACACTACTGATCTCTGCACTCTGCATTACATACTCCTGATCTCTGCACTCTGCATTACATACCACTGATCTCTGCACTCTGCATTACTACTACTGATCCCTGCACTCTGCATTACATACCACTGATCTCTGCACTCTGCATTACATACTACTGATCCCTGCACTCTGCATTACATACTCCTGATCCCTGCACTCTGCATTACACACTACTGATCCCTGCACTCTGCATTACACACTACTGATCCCTGCACTCTGCATTACACACTACTGATCCCTGCACTCTGCATTACATACTCCTGATCTCTGCACTCTGCATTACATACTCCTGATCCCTGCACTCTGCATTACATAACACTGATCCCTGCACTCTGCATTACATACCACTGACCCCTGCACTCTGCATTACATACCACTGACCCCTGCACTCTGCATTACATACCACTGATCCCTGCACTCTGCATTACACACCACTGATCCCTGCACTCTGCATTACACACTACTGATCCCTGCACTCTGCATTACACACCACTGATCCCTGCACTCTGCATTACATACTCCTGATCCCTGCACTCTGCATTACACACACCACTGACCCCTGCACTCTGCATTACTTACTACAGATCCCTGCACTCTGCATTACATACTCCTGATCCCTGCACTCTGCATTACACACCACTGATCCCTGCCATCTGCATTACACACTCCTGATCCCTGCACTCTGCATTACATACTCCTGATCACTGCACTCTGCATTACACACTACTGATCCCTGCACTCTGCATTACATACTACTGATCCCTGCACTCTGCATTACATACTACTGATCCCTGCACTCTGCATTACATACCACTGATCCCTGCACTCTGCATTACATACTACTGATCCCTGCACTCTGCATTACATACTACTGATCCCTGCACTCTGCATTACACACTACTACTGATCCCTGCACTCTGCATTACACACCACTGATCCCTGCACTCTGCATTACACACTACTGATCCCTGCACTCTGCATTACATACTCCTGATCCCTGCACTCTGCATTACACACCACTGACCCTGCACTCTGCATTACTTACTACAGATCCCTGCACTCTGCATTACATACTCCTGATCCCTGCACTCTGCATTACACACCACTGATCCCTGCCATCTGCATTACACACTCCTGATCCCTGCACTCTGCATTACACACTACTGATCCCTGCACTCTGCATTACATACTACTGATCCCTGCACTCTGCATTACATACTACTGATCCCTGCACTCTGCATTACTTACTACTGATCCCTGCACTCTGCATTACATACTACTGATCCCTGCACTCTGCATTACATACTCCTGATCCCTGCACTCTGCATTACACACTACTGATCCCTGCACTCTGCATTACATACTACTGATCCCTCCCTGCACTCTGCATTACTTACTACTGATCCCTGCACTCTGCATTACTTACTACTGATCCCTGCACTCTGTATTACATACCCCTGATCCCTGCACTCTGCATTACATACTCCTGATCCCTGCACTCTGCATTACATACCGCCGCTGATCCCTGCACTCTGCATTACATACTACTGATCCCTGCACTCTGCATTACATACCACTGATCCCTGCACTCTGCATTACATACTACTGACCCCTGCACTCTGCATTACACACCACTGATCCCTGCACTCTGCATTACATACTACTGATCCCTGCACTCTGCATTACACACTACTGACCCCTGCACTCTGCATTACATACTCCCTGATCCCTGCACTCTGCATTACATACTACTGACCCCTGCACTCTGCATTACACACCACTGATCCCTGCACTCTGCATTACACACCACTGATCCCTGCACTCTGCATTACACACCACTGATCCCTGCACTCTGCATTACATACTCCTGATCCCTGCACTCTGCATTACATACTCCTGATCCCTGCACTCTGCATTACACACCACACTGATCCCTGCACTCTGCATTACACACCACACTGACCCCTGCACTCTGCACTACTTACTACAGATCCCTACTCTGCATTACATACTACTGATCCCTGCACTCTGCATTACATACTCCTGATCCCTGCACTCTGCATTACATACCTGATCACTGCACTCTGCATTACACACTACTGATCCCTGCACTCTGCATTACACACACTGATCCCTGCACTCTGCATTACATACTACTGATCCCTGCACTCTGCTTTACTGACCCCTGCACTCTGCATTACATACCACTGATCCCTGCACTCTGCATTACATACACTGATCCCTGCACTCTGCACTGATCCCTGCACTCTGCATTACACACCACTGATCCCTGCACTCTGCATTACACACCACTGATCCCTGCACTCTGCATTACATACCCCTGATCCCTGCACTCTGCATTACATACTCACTGATCCCTGCACTCTGCACTCTCCGCATTACTATGCATTACTGATCCCTGCACTCTGCATTACATACCACTGATCCCTGCACTCTGCATTACATACTACTGATCCCTGCACTCTGCATTA